CAACACCCTACTGATACCCTACCAACACCCTACTGATACCCTGACAACACCCTACTGATACCCTACCAACACCCTACTGATACTCTTTCAAAATCCAAAATTAATATAAATTCTAGAAATAGCACCGATGTTGTCTTTTTTCTTGCAATAATCAGCTGTGTGTAATGATACTAAAACAATTAATAGCCTCAGTGATTATTGGTGAATAATAACTGTAGTATTACTATATACAAATATTTAAATTGTAATAAGCTAGATTGTTTATTTGCCTATGTATGATAATTATACAGGCAAATAAATAATCTAGCTTATTATGTCAATTAAAATAGTTGTATTAAGAGAGAATTCTTTTCAAGCAGTAAGCGCCAAAAACAATTTTCTTGAAGAAAGGCTGTTGTACAAGGCTAAAATCTCGTTATTCAGAAAGTTTGAATTGTTTGGCAGTGAAGATGACCGATGAAAGTGGAATCCATGTGTTTATGCAAAGCAATTTAAATTTTACTTGAAAATGAGGTTTAGGCCTTCATTTGCTTATTTCTCATATATTTTCAATAAAAAAAGCCTGACAAAGCAACATTCTAACACAAATGCAACAAAACATCTTTGTATGAAAATACCGCTTCAAACAGGTATTTTATCATAGTACATCAGTTTCTAACTGTTAAAAAAAGGTGTTGAGTGTTAACCCAAAACGAAAATCGGGATTAAAACTCATACGAAAGTCTAGTTTTTGGCGCTTTTTGCCATTATTGCTCATTATTAAAAAAATATTTCTCTTAATATGTAATAATAATGTTATTAATAATATTAATGTGTACCTTTGGTGTCAGTTCTTTCTCAGACAAGTCACAATGATAAATTACTCCAGGTGTGAGGAAGGATTCAAATTTATAAAATATCTGTTAATGAAAATAAAAACATAGCATTGGTTCATCATACTGTCAACTATGTTGGTCTGTCTGTTTCTTCAAAACAAAGAGACAACCCACATGTGGGGATTTGTAGCTACAGGTAGAACCTGAGAAAAGTAGGAGAAGCGACAGGGCAGAAAAACGAAAAGCCCGCCACTTTCACGATTTTTTATTTAACTGAGTTTATCACTCTAAATTTTAAAGCGTTTCATTTGTGTCACTGCTGCTCAAAACTTGTCATGAAAGTTTGTCGAATTGGAATAAATCTACTTATTAGTAATCACGAAAATGTCAGTTTTTCTGCTGATCAAAAATATCACCTCTCCCAAAGTACAAGGCTATTCTCAAATACGCATTCCATAAATTTTGGTCGCATTTGATATTTTGCTATTTGGCTCCAAAAGGACGTGTTTACAAAATATTGAGCTTAAATATGTAAAGCTATCCTTATGGCGAAAGGCCAAAAACTGTTTTTCTGCCCTGTCAGGAGAAGCACAATTATACATATTTGAGTGTTTCTTGACACTTCTACGAGTCAGTGTTCTACTGGTAGTTTTTATACCCATTTGTTTATCGTTGCAAACAGAGAAAGCTTATTTTCTAAAGTGAAATCGATATTAATAAATTATCTAGAATGACCATTATTTTGGATGTAAATGACTCACAAAGTTAATATTAAAACACTTAAATTTCAAATAAATTAATAGAGACCTTTAGCACAACAGTCTTGCTAGGTTACCGCAAACCTCAAGTTGCAGTTTGACGCCAGGTGTTTTCCTTTAAATTCCCCTTTTCGGCGCTAGCCATACGCGTCAMGAGGTATAAATTGTCTTAGATTGTGTTACGGTCACCAAAAAGTTCRGACATTRWTCTCGAATTBCCGTACAAATGTACTGACTCTAAATGAACTATTTACTTGGTTAATGTTAAAGTGCTACTACGACGAAAATCRCTCAAACTTGGATTCAGCTGAAACTTCCTAAGAATACTCTTTAAAGGTCCAATAATCACTGTATGAAGTGTTTTCTCGATATTCAGTACGAAAGTATGATATTTTTACGATTATTTTTTGGAGTCTGTGACGTCATACACTCAACATCGAACATCGCTCCATATATTTCTTTGTAGTTTATGATCAAAATATCAGTAGTAAAGGGAGAAAGAAATACCCAAACACCCCAAAATATAAATTATAGTCACAAGTAATGTGAAATAAGCACATTAGCCACCCTTTGGGCTTCATAGGAATAAAATAAATTAAGGATTTATATACAAAGAAATATATGTAGCAATGTTTGATGTTAAGTGTATGACGTCACAGACTCCAAAAAATAATCGTAAAAATATCATACTTTCGTACTGAATATCGAGAAAACATTTCATACAGTGATTATTGGACCTTTAAAGAGTATTTTTAGGAAGTTTCAGCTGAATCCAAGTTTGAGCGATTTTCGTCGTAGTAGCACTTTAAGTAAAGTTCTCTACATATAAGTAAATGATCATTTTTCTAGCTTGATTGAAGCTTTTCTTACTGCTGTTAAGATAGCTAACTAAAGAAATCTACCTAAATTTTCTCTTTAAAGTCAGTGAATTTGTATGGGAATCCAAGAATGATGTCCGAAATTTTTGGTGACCATAACACAATCCAAGCTAGCGCTGAAAAGGTGAATTTTCGACATCAATTACCAAGGTGTCATAACAAGTTGGTGCTGGAAGAGCCGCCATATTGAATTTCATTTATGCTGAGTGTTTCTCCGTGTTTGAGGGCACATTTGCATGGGCCTGATCCCTAATGGTTGGCAATTAAACCTGATGCTAAAGGTCTCTAATACCCTGAAACAACCTCTGGAAGGATCTAAGTCTCAAATTGGAATCTAGTGAATTGAAGAACACTCCTCTCCAACTCTGAAAAATTAAAATCAAAATTAGAATACTTATTTCTGAAATGCATACTAACTTCTGAATCTCGTTTACGACCAGAATAGCCAACAATAGATCCAATGTCCAGAGGAAAGGTCATGACTCGATCACCACTTGCTAGGCTGTGCAGATGTAAGACACTCTGAAAGACAAACATCATTCATTTTATATGGTGCATCTTCTCATTGGTTGTCAATACAAGTATGATCTTGTTTGATAATGTTATAAATATAAATTATAGTAAAACCTCTTAATTAAGCCACAGGCTTATTTATAAAGGCATGTTGAAGCGGGAAAGGCCGACTTAATTATTATAGAGTGTGGATAATATTACAGAGATAAGGGGAATTTTGAATTATATGTAGTGTAACACAGTAAGATTACTCTATTGGGATATATATAATATGATATATATTAACTTTCTTTAAACATAGAGTCCAACGGGTCGGGTCATTGGTTCGAGCCCTGTGGTCGCCAAATGCGAATTGAGTTTGTTTGATGTGTTGTTCTCTCCTATGGTACGAGGGTTTTCTCTGGGTTCTCCGGTTTCTGCCCTCCATAAAAATCAACATGTGAGTTGAGCGTTGTGTGCATAGAACATTTAATGTAGTGGTAGTTTGTGTGAGCGAAAAGTGTGCCCAATTTATTTTATTTATTTATATATGGTTAACTCRGAATTAAACTTTAAGTCTTAGTACACAAATATGACTTCCCCCTACTGTATAATCCAAGACATGAATATATTATAGTCATATGATAAATAGTACTTTAATCAGTGCACTTGTAGTGCTATTTTTCTTTATAGGAGTGGAGGGGAGGGTAGGGGGCTCTTTATCTAAAGAGCAGCGGGCTTATTAGACACAGAAAGCTTAACAGAGGAGTTACAAGCTGTAATAATATCAACCCAAAATTACCTTAACATCATGAAGGTAGCAAAGCACAAGTAAATCCTGTCTTACACAAGCAGCCCATTCAAGAACATCCACTTTCTCTTGTGATACTAATGTTGACCATTTGTCCTACAACAAACCAGCACTTGATTGAGGTTTTAATTAAATTGAGAAAGAAAAAAGGTAAATGTTTTTACCTGTTCAGGCTGCAAGAAGTCAATATTGATGAGCTTGTATCTAGGAGAGTTCAAATTGGTCTTGAATGTAAACAATGTTCCTTGGTTGGTTATATACTGTACAAAGGACAAATAAAAAGCACAGTAAATTGCTGTACAGAAATTAGAATTATAAACAAGTAAAATGTACTGTTCAGGAATATGCAGCATGTAAGAATGAAATAGCACAAGCACAAAATAATTAGTATTAGAGACAGACCAGGGGGTTAGCATAAATCCCCTAAAAATATCAAGCAAGCACTTTACCTATGTAAAAAAATATCACCCTATCTCTCCTTTCAGAAAAGAAATATAGAGCAAACACCAAAAAAGATTGCAGGGGTGAATTGACACAAAAAAAATGTGCAACATAAATTCCTACAACCCTTATCTCCCACCACTACTGGCTGAGAACCTGTGAAAATCGTGTAAAAAACCTGTGAAAAATATCTCTGTATTTTAGAAATTTCACAGGTTTTTCACAGGCTCTCACAGGCAATCACTCAATGGTCCATCCCTTACAGAATGAAGCACAGAAAAAAACAGTTTTATTTGTTCTATCAATATATGATTATTAATGATCATAATAAAAAGCAAAACAGGCTATATGTGCATATGGTTGTATGGAGTCAGCATCCAGTACTCTGTTAGTTTATGAAGAAACAGAAAATGTGGGTGCATGTTATAAAGCATACGGAGATTGGCAGAACACAGGCAAAGTGTTAGGAGAAGCACAACGTGTTATGGAAAGCATGTTTTTTTAAATTATTTTATGACAGTCATTTTATAATATGCAGCAAAGTTCTCAACCAATCAAAGGGAATTGCTTATATAATATTAGTAAAAATACACAGGTGATTATTGAAAATCTTGCGCACTGATTGGTCGAGAAACTCACACTATATCACATGATAATCACCTCCAGCGATAATCCAACATGGCAGCCAGCCGCTTTGTTGCTGTTACCGGAGAGGAATAAAATAATGAAAGAATATGCTGTCCCCAAAATGTGATAGTCTTCGGTTGGTTATGTCTCGATTTATTTGTTTATCTTGACTCTATACTACATGTATTGATCAGTACGCGAACTGATATATATCTGGCGTACATGTGTATATATATACGATTACAATCATGTGATTAACTATAACGTAACTAGTTAAACAAAGATGCATTGTCACACAATATCATATAATGTTACACAAAAGGACTAAAGAGGCTAACAATTTTGCACTAAAAAGGACTTAAAACAATCAAATAAGCTCAAACAAACTGTTTTGATTCGCAAAGTCGGAGTTCACCTGTGTTGTAATTGAAAGCCGCATTTGTCACTTCAATTAAAATCTTCCCTTATCTTACATGTGTCTTTTATCTTCTTTTTTTCTTTTTTTGGAAAGAATCACCTGTGTGTTTATACTAAGACAATTATTTGCCTCAGCCTCAGTGAATATCGGAGAATATTTACCTCGCCGCTAGAAGGCTCGTGTCTCGCTAAATATTCCCTCACTTCACCTTCGGTGAGTAAATGTTAAATAATACATAATTTGGATTTGCTATCATCCCATATCTAGATATAATATGATATGCAAACTAACCTCATACTCAGCATCAAAGTTATCAACTATTTTGGTGTAAGGAAGCTTATCTGAAGCAGGAAATGATGAAATGCAATGATAAGAAACACATAGACATATTTTGATACCCAACTATTTTGCATGTTGGATACCAATATTTGTGAAACTATTCAGCAAAAGTACAAAATGATATGGAATTTTACCAAACTTTGTCTGAAGGTTTTTCCAGTGAATTTTTTCCAGTGTGTGCATTGTACTCCCAGGGGGGGGGGGGGGGTTACTCCCCTATATTCGCTATACTGGTACATGCTGCCAAACAGGGTATGGTTTTCAGTGATTCTACTCTGGAACAGGGTATATAAAATCACGCTCGCTCTGTAACAGGGTATATAAAATCACGCTCTCTCCTCTCTGGAACAGGGTATCTATTTTCGCACTACCAGAACAGAGTATGGTTATCAGCGATCTTGCTCTGAAACAGGATATGCATTTCAGCGATTTTAATCTGGAACAGGGTCAGGGTTCAGAGGGCTCAGCGGCACATCCCTACCCTAAACTGGCAAGAGAACCCCAGCCCCCCGGGGTCGTACTTATGTTGTATTTGTTCCCAGTATAGTTTACTGTTTCTCTCTCTCTTTTTCAAACACACAAACAAACACAAGGTTACATATTCCTTATATTCAAATGCCAGGGAAATTAAATAGCAGGAACAGAATTTAAAATGTTTGGTGCCTTCAGGATTTTCCTTAATTAAGTTGATCTTTCAAGAATAAGGTTTTTATTGTTTGAGTTTAATATCCTCTATAATTGCAATAGACTCTTTTCAAGTTCCAAATTACCACTGAGTTTCTTGATTACAGACTCATTTACTCAGGCTAAGCCTCGATTTTGTGAAGAATATTCACATGTTCCAATCAAAGTCCGTCAAGCTTCAAGGTGTTCATATTGTTGAAGTTGTGCATTCTTTACTTTACCGTTGGTATTTGCAAGTAATTAGACACTGATGCAACGCTAAGCCTGAGTAAATGAGTCTATAAACAAGAAACACAGCGGTATTTTGAAATTCGAAACAGGACTATCATAAACCATTTCAACGGACAACCAACTGATAAATAAATCAATCTTACCCAAGGATTGAAATGAGGGATAGTTAAAACATGTACTGTAATACATCATAGCTACCCTTTTCATGCCTCAAAACATAAAGTGAATAATGGCCAGGTAGTTTTTTGGCAAGACAAATAATTTTGGTGAAGCAAATATTTTGCTGCTATTCCACTTTGATTTCTAAAGCAGTTCAAAAAACATTTTGCTTTAGCCCACCAGTAGTAAAATAATTGGACCTGCATTTTGGCCATTTGTATATTAGAACTCATACTGTACATGCACTCAAGTGATGATGCCGCAAAAAAATAATTTTTGCTATATCATATATTTTTGATTCCTAATTTCAAAAGAAGAACAAGAGGCGTTTACACACCATTTTTGACAAGAATCTCTCAAAATGCACCTGAGATAAGGCCATTTGAATATGTGATTTCTCCATACAAATTACACTGTATTTTAGCTCTGCTCAAAACATTTGGAAGTGTTTGGATTGTGAAAAAACTATTTTTTTCATGACATAGCACTTGGGTAACTCTATTAGCAGGCTGCTGTCTAGAGCCCTGATCTTTGGAAAAACTAATAAAAATTATACATTGAATAATACTTACCTTTGATAGCATCTACCTTGTTCAGATCACAGTAATACAGCCTGTTTACAGGATTACAGCCCTCACGGAGGGTTAAGATCACATATTTACCACAGTCACTCACTTCACCACCTCTAGTCATGAATCAAATAAATATTGATATTAGAACCTTGGGGACCATTTATTTTTTATCGGGCAAGGAGGGCGGTGGGATTTGCTTAGCTTCCTGTATGAGAAAACTGACCACCCCTATTTGTTATTATATTACAATGATGACCTCTCCCTCGTTTTCCATAATTATTATTTATTATTATTCATTGTAAAAGCAGTGTGCAACTCAGATTCTTTAGTGTTGTCTTCCCTGAGACCCCCCCCCCCCCCCCCCCCCCCCCCGTAAAAACTGAATGGCCTCTTGGTTCATTGTGCTGCCCAGTGGACAAACAAGTTGCTTTTGTGATTAATACATCTGAGTCCTGAGAGGATATCATCAACTGTACTAAACTAAATATACTGACAGTACTATACTGGGGAAGCATGGGCGGCGTAGTGGTCAGAGAGCTTGCCTCTCATCAATGAGACCAGAGTCCGGCCAGGTTCGGTGTCATATATGAGTAGAGTTGTTTGTTGGTTCTCTCCTGTGTTTTGAGGGTTTTCCAGGTTCTCCGGTTTTCCTCCCTCCGCAAAAATCAGCTCCTAAATTCCAATTCGATCACGGAATGAGGGCCACAGGTTTGTTTGCCACTGGATATTAAGTGCTACCCTCGTGAAAATAAGGACGGTTTTTTTAAATACTACTAGGTATATCATTATGTTCTTTAAAATAAAAAATTATTAGCATAGGAAATTGCATGATCTCGAGTACAATTTGGACAAATTGTATGAGAAGATCGTGCGATTTTTTGTTTATAGTTCACTCAACAAAATTTCAGTAAAAAATGCGAAGCGACGCTGTTCATCTTTTTCTATTTGGTGGCCGATTTTCAGTCCATCGTGCAACTGAAATGCATAAAAAAGATTAGTTCTTACGCCTTTGAAATTTTATTTATATGTCCTTTAAGTACAAAATGATAGAAAATAAATGTTTTGACATGTTTTGGCCGTGTTGCCATAGCGACTTAATTTGGTACTCCTACGAAGTACAATTAATGCTATAATTGTACTTCTCTCGACCAATCAGAGTTGAGTAATTTTGTTGAGTGTACTATAAAATAATAAAAGTGAATTTCAGTTTGTCGATCATGTAACACTTACATATGCCACTTTGGGTGTTCAGGAAATTCACAGCAAAGAACATCCTGACTTTGGTCTGTTCCAAGTTTATGGTAGTAAAGCTGAATTTTAGAAATTAAATATATACAAGTTAACATAAGGCTTAGCAAGTTTGTTTTACTCTATATTCTAGACAACTGTTCAAATAATAACAGACATAATATTAGTTTACATTAAGAGGAAATTTTTTTCCATAAAGAGCAATGATGGCAAAATCACCAAAAACTAGACTTTCGTATGAGTTTTGATCCCAATTTTCGTTTTGGGTTTAACACTCAACACCTTTTTTTAACAGTTAGAAACTGATGTACTATGATAAGATGCCTGTTTGAAGTGGTATTTTCAATTGTACGAAGATGTCTTGTTGCATTTGCGTTAGAATGTTGCTTTGTCAGGCTTTTTAACAGAAAATGTATGGGAAATAAGCAAATGAAGGCCTAAACCTCATTTTCCATTTTTCATTTTCCTCATTTTTTTGGGTTAATGCATTGATTCCATTTTCATCGCTCATCAATCCACTTCCAAACAAGTTAAACTTTCTGAACAACAGGATTTTAGCCTTGTACCACAGCCTTTCTTCAAGAAAATAGTTCTTGGCGCTCACCGCTTGAATACGAAAAGAATTCTCTCTTAATTTATAGAACATCTGAGTTTGTTTGCTGTCACTCTGTAATGAAGATATGGAAATGAATACTCTAACCTTTTGGTTCAAGTTCTGATCTGTCTCGGTTCCATCAGATTTTTCAGAGTTGGCTGGATATTTCTTAAAAAAAGGAGATATTTAAAATAATCAAATTTGACTTAATATACTGTAAATGGATTGTGGCATGGGTAACAAAAGTATGGGTTTGCAATCATTCCTAAGAGAGTCAAGAGACAAAAACATGGCAGTCATCTGGGTGTAGTTAACAATGGAAGCTAATTTATAAGAATTTTTTGTTAAAGTGCCCCTCACCTACAACTCAATATTTTAAATATTGATTCTACATGAAGTGAATAGTTGAATGGTAAAATACTTTTCATGATTTGAGTGATGTATCATCAAGGTGAGATATCAAGATTTATAGTACGCTCGACAAAATTACTTGACTGTGATTGGTCGTAAGGAGTACAATTAATAATCTTTATTGAGATAACTTTTTCATAATTATGATTTTCAAAAAGGACCTCATCTAAAAGGACCTCATCTAAATTATAGCGCTAATTGTACTCCGTAGGAGTACCGAATTAAGTCGCTATGGCAACACGGCCAAAACAATGTCAAAACATTTATTTTCTATCATTTTGCACTTAAAAAACATATAAATAAAATTTTAAAGCCGTAAGAACTAATCTTTTTTATGCATTTCAGTTGCGCGATGGACTGAAAATCGGCCGCAAAATAGACAAAGATGAACAGCGTCGCTTCGCATTTTTTACTGAAATTTTGTTGAGTGAACTATAAACAAAAAATCGCACGATCTTCTCATATAATTTGGAATTAATAGACACTCGTAATGTTTTGAAAGTTCTTTAATTGTACTCGCCTAAAGGCTCGTGCAATTACAAGAACTTTCAAAACATTACGAGTGTCTATTAATTTCCAAATTGTACTTGAGATCGTGCGATTTCCTATACTAATTCTTCTAATATGTTAATAAGTGTGATGTCAATATGCAAAACCTTTTTTAGGGCAGTAAAATATCCTGTATAAGCCATCTTGGTTTTATTTAGGGTTTATAGAAACTCAGTTTATTACAAATTTTTCTCGCTTTTATCAGTGTTTCAATTAGTAAGTTACGACAAATAAACTCAATTTATGCTTCCTATAATGTCACACTCATTAGCATCATTATTGAGAAGAGATAACTAGCTAAAAACTAGTGTGAGCTGCGTCGGTGTTCCTAATGTTTCTTTACTCCGACTAGCGTCCTAAATGTCAGTAAATTTTTTCATCTTTTCACGGYGTATAATTTACCTTTTTATCATTACTGTAGCATTATTATTGAAAGAATGAATCTTGATATCTCCCAGATGCATCACATCAAATAACATAAAACAATTTTACCCTTCAATTATTAATGGGTAGATTTAGGAGTGAGTGGTACTAACTTCAAATACCACCAATAAAATAGCCCACTTCTACTGTAAACATCTTGGTATTTGTTCAGCTTAGATGTTAACATTGCTCTTACATTGTAGAACAGTCCTTTATTGTCATGAGTCCAGGACATACATGTAAACTTGGCTTTTTCTAGCTTGTCTGGAAGATCTACAGCTCCATCAACTTTCATGAACTGAAAAAGCAGACACATTATTAATACTTTTAGGTTCTCATGTGGTGTCTACACCTGCATATTAAATTAGTATTACAGCCAGTTTCTTACAGCCAAATTTGAACATTGTATGATGTAACAATAATGCAAATAAAAAAAAATTAATTAAAAAAAGGATATGAATAGATAGATAGATGCTTTATTTAATTGCATAAATACCAAATATACAATTGCCCTAATTCACTATGACGTCACTGCTTGTTTATGTGGGGGATAGAATCGCCAAATCCAATAGAAAATTCAACAAAATTTGCTCCTAGCGAAACAGTTTAATCTAAGATGGCCTGGTTTTTAGATATAATGTGTTAATATGTACTAAATATTCTGAGTGTTTGCTGGCTATTCTACTTCTCTTCATGGATTGACACAGGTTTTAGAACAATTTTTGGTGAATTTGCATTGATTTGACCCCCTCCGATAACCAAGATCCTTTGCGTTTAAACAATAGATTGTTTTGATGTGACGTCATAGTGAAATAGGGCAATTGCTCATGGGCATTGCTTGTGCCATTAATAACTTCTGGTTTCCCCTGTCAATCTTGCTCTTACAGCTGAGACATTTTTTAATTATATTCCATAACACACATAAAGGTTTGTGAAAGCAGAGTACATGTATATGCATAAGAGCACTCAAATATTTTTGGATGATTTGTAAGTATCATTTTATGAATTTTATCCAAAACAAACAGTTATTTTGTGCACAATTAAGATCAACCCTTACTAAAAAAAAAGATTATGGGAAGCACGGGTGGCGTAGCGGTGTGAGTGCTTGCCTCTCATCAATACAACCTGAGTTTGAGTCCCGTCGGGCTCGGTGTTGTATATGAGTAGAGTTGTTTGTTGGTTCTCTCCTGTGCTTTGAGGGTTTTCCAGGTTCTCTGGCTTTCCTCCCTCCGCAAAAATCAACTCCTAAATTCCAATTCGATCATGGAATGAGGACCACAGGTTTGTTAGCCACGGCTCGTGAAAAAAGGACGTTTTTTTTAATAAGAGCAATGTTGAAAAGAAGCATAATATTAAGATATACCTTGATAGTGACCCAATCTGACCCATGTGAACTTAGTGAATAAGCAAACAATTCTCCATCATCAGAAAAAGCACGACCAACAAGAGCAATGGTACCATCTTCAGACAGCTTGTTTGGGTCTAAAAACACTTTCTCTTCTGCTTCAAGCGTGTCTTGCACATACATTACACTAATAAAGGTTAAGAACACTAATACATTCAATATTTCCATGCATGTCAACGTGCTATACTAATATGTGATCATTCAATATTATTATTGGAGAGCGAAAATGGGGTGACATGATCAGCTAGGGGCCATGGAGGGGTGGGGCAGAGGGAGGTGTTTTTTTCCAGGGGGGGGGGGGTACTCTTGCTCGTTTAGGGTATGGATGTGCAGCTGAGCCCTCTGAACCCTGACCCTGTTCCAGAGTAAAAATTAGTGAAATTCATACCCTGTTCCAGAGCAAGAACGCTGAAAACCCTGTTCCAGAGAGGAGAGAGCGTGATTTCATATACCCTGTTCCAGAGCGAGCGCRATTTTATATACCCTGTTCCAGAGTAGAATCGCTGAAAACCATACCCTGTTTGGCGGCACGTACCCGTATAGCGAATATAGGGGAGTACCCCCCGGGTATATTTTCCAATCTTAGTACCCTCCCCCATTTCTTAGGCTGCTCCATGGCCCCTGATGATGGCATCATTTTACTCCCACCACCAAGATGCCACATGATTTTTCTCCTTATTTAAATTATATTGCCTCATAAGAATAGTAAAACTATAGACGATTTGTTACTCATGTGCACTTGACAGGTACCTTTGGTTTTGAAGGCCAGAGTTATAAAAATAAAAATATCTGGAACCTTCCTTGAAAGGGCATCCATATTTCGGGTAATCCCACATTTCAGTCATCCTTGAAACAAAACAAAACAATATAAGAATTACCTAAATGAATGAATGATATATTAATAAAATAAACATAGCTTTACCGTTGTTTAAATGGTTCTCGTATGTCACATTCAGACAAGTACTCCATTGTTATCTCATTTTGTGCTCGGACAAACTCCGCGGTTTCCTCGGAATCGGGGTCTTCGAGCCAGCAATATGGCTCAGGAATCTTAGTACCATGATAATCGTCTACGGCTGTATCATCACGGCGTACTTTGGGGTAATAATCCATAGGGAAAAGTTAATTTGAATCCAAAGACTGCGATGAAGTTGCGGCGAAGAAGAGGGAATAAAGGTCAAGCCGCGGTATGTACTTCATGGCTGAATGCCATATAGACGACATGTATTGCAATCTCATATACTCGACATACTTTATCATCCCTCCCTAACCATCCCTAA